CTTGTTGAAGTTGAAATCATTATGTGCGCAACATTTTTAATGATTTTTTCGTAAAACTCGCTGAAACAAAATGGGCTACGAGGATATAAAGATATTTTTAGAGAAGATAATGTACTGAATTAATGAAGGAGAAAAAGAAGAAAAGAAAGGAAAGTGATATATTTTAGATTGTTAGATCTTTACTGAAATTCGAAGGAATGTCAAATTTCGAGAGGTAACGTTTGGAAAGCTGAGAACTTGCTTGTCGTAAGTTTTAAAAATTCATCGAATTCGACCGTTTTTTATGAAAACTTGTAAAAAATTGAACTCACTCTGATGAAATTCCATGCTATTCGCTCGATTTTTATGAGAGTAAGTAACGAAAATAAAAAAAAAAAATTTTATGAATTCAAAACGATGTAATCTGCTTAAAAGTAATTCCAAATTTTACGAATTCAAATCGAAGATTTTACAGTAAGTATCGTAGATTTATCAGAAACAGGTGCAATATCTATCAAATTAAAAGCCTAGAGATTCTCGAATCCCTAAAAAAAAAAAAGAAAAAAAGGTTGATTGGAATTTTTCAAAATTTCGCTCTCAATCCCTCGAGAAACTAAAAGAAAGATTTTGCCACCAATTTTTCGCTGAGAAAATATCTCGAGATCTCGATCTGTTCCTGTTTTGCTACCAGGCATGGTTGTGATGACCATGACAGCGGTGGACTACGACGACCCGAGCGAGGGTACGAACGCCAAACTGATCTACTCGATCGAGAAGAACGTGATCGAGGAGGAGACTGGCTCGCCAATATTTGAAATCGAATCGGAAACCGGCGTGATAAAGACGGCGGTATGCTGCTTGGACAGGGAACGTACACCGGATTATTCGATACAGGTGGTAGCGATGGATGGAGGGGGGTTAAAGGGTGAGTTGAAAATCAAAAAACGACGATCCATGGCCCGAGAGAGAGTGTTTTCACACGTTGTTCACGTGACGATCGTTCGCCAATATTTAGGGACAGGGACGGCGTCTATACGAGTGAAAGATATAAACGACATGCCGCCCCAATTTACGAAGGAGGAGTGGTTCACCGAGGTGGATGAAACGGAAGGTCCAGATCTGCCGGAAATGCCGATTCTCACGGTCACCGTGCACGACGAGGACGAGACGAACAAATTCCAGTACAAGGTATACTGCTCTGTGATTTCCCGCTGTGTGAGATCACAAGGAGACAGTTAGTAATTAAAAGAAAAAAAAAAAAAAAAAATTGTTTTTTGAATACAGGTGATTGAGAGTAGCGGTTACGGTGCTGATAAATTCACCATGGTGAGGAACAACGATGGCACCGGCTCGTTGAAGATCGTGCAGTCGCTGGACTACGAGGACCAATTGCAGAGCAACGGTTTCAGATTTAGGATACAAGTGAACGATAAGGTAGCCAGAGAATGGAAAATTACAAATCTCTGTGTATTTCGATTCTATCACGAAAATGATTTCCTTTGCTCGGAGAAGAATCTTCTCGTTGATGTTTCAATTTCTTTCGAGAAAACGTGAGCGAGTGTGCCGTTAATGGCCGGAAGAACGCAACGTTGGCGTGATTTTTCAGGGCGAGGACAACGACAACGACAAGTACCACGTCGCGTATTCGTGGGTGGTCGTGAAGCTGCGCGATATAAATGATAATCAGCCCCAATTCGAGAAGGCGAATATCGAGGCCACGGTGCCGGAGAATGCTCGCATTGGTAGCAGCCTGCAGACGTTCACGGCCACAGATCCCGATCAGGGTGGCAAGAGCAAGGTGTTCTACTCGATCGATAGGAGTTCCGATCGCAAGAGGCAATTCTCCATCAACGAGAATGGCACGGTGTCCATTCAAAGGAGCCTCGACCGCGAGGAGACTCCCAGGCATCAGGTACACGTGCTTCTGAGAATTCAGAATTAAAAGTTTCGCTCTTGAAAAGAAAGCAAACCAACTGAAAATCCATCGATTTCTACAATTATTTAATACAGTTTGTAACTCGATGTTTCTTCTTTTCTTTTCTGGAACTTCTTTTAAAGCTTATTTAACTAGACAGGGATTGAGATGAATATGAGCGTCTTTGAGTAAGAAACCTAGGGTCAATTTCAAAGGTTTGGAAGGGCTCTGTTTAGAGTCGGTTGCTGTCTAGTTTCTGTTTGAGAAACAAGATGTCGATACGCCCTTGGTACGCGTCTATCTATAGATATTCTAGATCAGAACCTTCATTCACAGTGTTCAAATTTCAAACTCTTGGAACCATGAGACATGCTACGAGCACAGCCCATTGCACCAATGTTGTCATTAGAACGATCCCGGAAGAAATTGTCATCTTCTCCACGTGTAACATAAGAAATTTCATTCTCAGACTCTTTGGAAGCTATGCACAGACAACTAATCACGGACTCGCGAGTGACAACGTCTCATAACATAGTTCATTCAACGAGTCGTCGTTGCGTTTCAGGTGAAAATTTTGGCCATCGACGATGGAATCCCGCCGAAGACAGCAACGGCCACGTTGACGGTGATCGTGCACGACATAAACGACAATCCGCCGCGATTCTTGAAGGACTACAGGCCAGTGTTGCAGGAACACTCGCAGCAGAAGAAAGTAGTGGAGATCTCGGCGACGGACGACGACGATCGATCAAAGAGCAACGGGCCGCCGTTCACTTTCAGAATGGACCCGAAGGCCGACGACGTGATTCGTGCCAGTTTCAAAGTCGAGAGCGATAACAGTGAGTCTCGGTGCAATCCTTATCACGTCCAATATCGTGGTAGTGGACGCTGCTAACAAACCATCCCCCCGTGTTTTTGTTTCATTGCAGAGGGAGCGAACGGTGATGGCATGGCCATTGTTTCGTCGTTACTGTCGTTCAATAGAGAACAACAAAAGGAATACTTGATACCGATCGTCATCAAGGACACGGGCACCCCGTCGATGTCTGGGACCAGTACCTTAACGGTTATTATCGGCGATATCAACGACAACAAAATGCAGCCTGGCTCGAAGGACATTTTTGTATATAACTATGCAGTACGTGTTTTCGCTTTTATTTTATATTCTCTCGTTCAACGTTCTACTTCTGTCGGAGAGATATTATATCAAAGAAGGCTGATGTTAAGGATTCTTTGATCCTCATCTTTGACGTGTGATTCTATGTATGCTTGCATAAAACTAATTGCACCTCTCTGAATGAATCTGAACTACTCTGGCCTTGTGTGCGTATAGATTGTGTTAATTAAAGTATAATGATTACTTGTTGTCCTGTCTAGGTATGCGTCCCCCACCTTAAGATTTTGTCCCTTTAATAGGAGG